ACTTATAAATATAAGTACATCGTCGCAAAACAATGATATTCCATTAACCACGACGCAACAGGGTGGGTATGTATGGTTGGGAGGAAAAAAAAAAAAAAAAAAAAAGAAAAAAATGATGAGAGAAAAGTAAGGTATAAACGCAATAGCTGATGGGCAACTTTTTACGGGGCTCAAGTGGATGGTGGGTGGGGGGGGGGGAGGGCAAAATGTGTCGCGGTCTCGTTTCCGTTTTGAGGCTTTTTGTCCACTCCACACGCGCGGTTGCGGTCGAGAGATGGTATAGGTATACACACACACGTATCGGGTTAACTCTCGAGCGCATTGTAAAGAGCGCAAGAGTGAAAGGTGGATCTCTTGGCTTTGGAGCTTGCGCGGCCCCCCCGGGTAACGCGATCCCCCAAGCTTTGTGCAGCCGAGAGATTGCCCTTTCTCTCGCAAAGAGATCATTCCGTGCTCCCTATACTTACATATGTATCCGCCACTCCGACACTTACGAATAAACCATCCATCAGCCGCACTCGGTTCTTCTTCGTTTCATGCTCGGCATCACCGTGCCATATACACAACATAATACTGCATATGTATATGTGTACATGCATACAGTTGTATGATGATAAAGTTGCTATTTTTATTCGACTTTCCTCGTATATATATATATGTATATATTACATGGTTTGAAATACATTGATTTTTGAGGAAAAAAAAAAAAAAAAAAAGAAAAGATATTTGCGGTGCTTAAGGTGCTGTGGAAAAAGAACCCGCGGCAGTTGGTGCTAGATGAGCAATAATCATGGTGGCGACGAGCAGTACCGTGTTTGAGGAGACCCGTGGGATGACTCGAGCCAGTTGACCCGAGCCGCCTCGCACGCTGCTTGTGCGCGCCGCGATGCCGTACATGAACAACGGCTCGGCCAACTCGGGGGAGAGCTGCCACCAGGGCTTCGGGCCCCTCCGCCAGTACCATCAACAGGATGGCTTTCAGCCCGAGGTACACGTATACATACAATAAGTCATCCACACAAACATATTGACACAAAGTGGGTGTTGTAATATTATGTGATGGTTCGCAGAAGGAGCCGGTGGAGTTTGATTGCCGGCACCTGCGGGGCGCGCCGGCCGAGGTCGAGGCGCTCGTGCACAGCATCAAAGAGGTGGCCCAGCAGTTCCTCTACCACTGGAAGACCTTCCCGATCGTCCTGCCGCCCGGCCTCTCGACATTATCGTCCAACGAGGCGGCCGGCAGCAGTGCCGTGGTCGTCGGGGGATGCGGGGACGACAGCCTCGCCCGCAAGAAGAAACAGCCGCACTCGTACCACCTCAGGGACATGTTTGTCACCCCGAGTTTCGACGAGCTCGACGCGGTCGCCGTCGACAACAACGGGGAGCCCCGTCGGCTCAACAACAAACACCTCGAGAGCATACAGGAGAGAGGGTGCGTTCAACATCAACTAGTATCACCCGTTGTACCTATAGTATAGATGTTAGGTGCTAGGTATTATTAGCTCCGTTTTTCACTCGTACGTGTGTAAGCTTGTAGTTTTGCGTATTGCGTATAACCAACCTTGGCCGTGTTATATATTTTTTATGCGGGTACACCAGTCGAGGTGGTATAGAGAGAGTGGGGCCACTGCCTGTTTCATTTCCACGCATGTAGTTATTCGAAGTGGTACATTCCAAAACTGACTGGTCGTTCCATCGACAACAATTGTTCGCTCGTCACTTTTTCTCCCCAGTGGCGCAACGCAAAGGTTCGTTTCAAAGCCATGGATGACGCATCAGTACAGCGCAACGAGCGAATAACTTTCCTTTTTTTTTCTCTCGCAGTGGGGGTGTTAAAAGTTAGGGTAGAACTTTAGCTTGCCTAACTTATCAATTCATCCTTTTGGGAAAAGAAAAAAAAAAATTTCTAAATCACGTTGTTAATGATCCTACCATTGCACGTAAGGGGAATGGAAAATGAAGAATACTCGGGAAGATTTTCCTCATTACTTTTCCATTCGTAGGTGTACGCGTGCAAGTACAGCTTAAACTACATAATTCCTGTGTAGATCGAGTTTTTATAGAATGGCTTAGGATAAAGTTACCTTATTTGCAGGTACTTGGTATATTTTTGTTGTTATATCTCGCACATTTCTGCACAATCAAGTCATTACGTTTGACGATTTTTTTTTATATAGAATCATAGACTTTTCCCGTATAAATAACATCTAGTCGCAGCTTCGTAGATAGGAAGATAGAATAGTACCAATATGTGTGTAATTGTGTAACAATAATGTGGGTAAAAAAATCAATGAAACAAATTTATACGAAATTAGAGGAAGGGAAAGGCAGCAGCTCGAAAAAAGACGATAAGGAAGGAAAAAAAAAAAAAAAGTACCACATAAGTAATTGAATAAGCATGTTTTGCCACATGTGTTGATAAATAATTTCTCAACGATTCGATTTTTGCCAAAGCTTGCACAAGGATAAGTACGGAAAGTCGAAGAAGCTGAACGCCGAACAGCTGGAAAACATCCGCAGATGCGGGTATGTCACTACGCCCCCCTTCTTAGCGATTCCTCGCACACACACCCAACGAAATAACCCCTTTTCTCCACCCTCCTGTCCTTATTAACCGTACACATTAATTACATGTTTCTCGTACTCCCACTTTTGTTTTGTCAACTTATGCTCTAAAGTGCTTCCCTACCGAAAATTATTTATTTTCTATAATGAGGTAACTCCTCAGACGCGTACTCGCATATATAATTTATTGGGCTGCTATTTTACACCGCGTGGTTATTTTCTATACTCACGGGTTTTCATTGATGCTAAATGTTGTTTTCGCTCTTTTAGCGCACGTTTATTCATGAAAACTCGTAAAAGTCAGATCACCCGTGTGGATGAATGATTCGTAAAAATACGCGCTTGCCAGTAGATAGTCATTTTATTTTTGCATTCAAGAGAAGGTGACGTGCAAGTACATTAAAATATTGGTTTTCATTTGTAAGCTTTGTGTGCTACAGAGTGCATGCCTACGCAACATACCTGCTTATGATACATTGTACGATTATTATTATTGTGTATTGAAATAAGGGCCAAAATAATTCATGGTAAATATTTTTAACAAGTATTGCAATACTCGTTAGAAAAGTCATAAATGACACACAGGGGAAAAAAGTACGAGATCGTACTTTGTCCATTTGTGCCATTTTTGGATTTTTCCCAGTCCTTTCCATCAACTAAATTCATATAAATTATTTATGTTTGGCTCATTGTTCAATAATGCATACTCGCTCCAAGTGCACGGAATAAAATATAATTAGCTCAACCAAAAATGCACTACCAAGTATACTTATCGACGCTAGTTGGCCTCACCAAACTAAAGTTGTAACTACAACTCGGTTTATTATCGTTTGTATAAAAAAATTTCAATTATCGTGGTAAAAAAACGATAAAATGATTAAAGACGTTTGCATGATAATTTTTACCGTTAAAACAGTAGTTTTGACAATGCATTACTTTACTACTCATTCATAGCTTTAGAACAGTAATTGTTCATTTATCTCGGCACATAAAATTTTTCTTACATCTCATATGTGTACAGGGACTTGGCGCAAAAAAAAAACCAAGATCGCTTTACCATTGATAAACTTAAACAATAACTTACGATTTTTCGCGCCACGTCCCTCGGATAAATTCTTAACCATCACATTTATCATCTCCCAATACAATTTGTTACAGTGAAAAAAGCAGTTTGACTTTAAAATAATAATTATATCTGAAGGTAATGCCTCTTACATGGGGCCATGTACATAATTTTCACAATATTGCTAGCCAAACGCTGGATACTGTTACAGCATATTGCTTCAACATTTTAACAACAAATATTGCAGCAGTACAAATGTTTTTCGTAAACCACAACTTTTGGAAAAAATTTTGTTGTGTTTGATTAAGAGTAGTAAATTTGAACTTGGATTAATATTTACAGCTGTGCCAATTATGGGTTGCCACGAGACTTTTTGTTTAATGTTTATCATTTATGAAAGAATCACAATTAAATCGCTATTGTATGAATTATTACAGTATTAGTTTTAATTAAATATATTTTTTGCAAATAAAAATTTCCTCAACACAAGAAATATTTTTACAGCAATGGTACAATGTAACTGGACATTTATTAGAATGTTGGAGCTTTGAAAACAGAACGGATATTTTTTTTCAACGTTGCGAAAAATAACATGCGATATTGTAGCAATTAGTAATGCTACGTGAGTATACGGAACGTAAAAATATATTTTAATTTTTCCGACGAATGATTGAGTTTTGACGGTGTTATAGTGCTGGCTTAGTAATTTCTTTTTTTTTTTTTTTTTCGTTGATCTTACGCATAATGATAATAAACCACGTGTTTATCCTCATATTCAAAGATATTTAATCGAGTGAAAGGAAATTATGATTTTGCTCGGTTAAATATGCACATAAAGTATAATACACAATGATTTAGCGTCTGGGATGATTAATATCCATTGTAAGCGTCAAATAAAATATTAAAAAAAAAAAAAATCTTGATCCCCTCACCACCTGGTGGCCCGTTGTACGTGCTCACAGGGAGTTTGAAGTGGAGTCGATCAACTTTGCGGGCCAGACGCACCGTTGGCGCCTGAGCGGTTTGTTGCAACGGGGACGGGATCGAAGGCGCGAGGCCCTCTTGCGAGATTTGGCACTTGCAACGAGATTCATTGTCGTGACGGCCAAGAACAGACTGGTCTCGCACTGCTTCAGCGTGTCGGCGTCGCTGAAGGCCCTCGTAACCGGCCTACTGCGGCTCCTTGGTAAGTTTACTCATTTGTTTATTTATTTTATCCTAATCAAGTGATGGGTCCACATTTGTTAAAAAAAAAAAAAAAAAAAAAAAAAGAAAAAAATGATGAGAGAAAAGTAAGGTATAAACGCAATAGCTGATGGGCAACTTTTTACGGGGCTCAAGTGGGTGGGGGGGGGGGGGGGGGGAGGGCAAAATGTGTCGCGGTCTCGTTTCCGTTTTGAGGCTTTTTGTCCACTCCACACGCGCGGTTGCGGTCGAGAGATGGTATAGGTATACACACACACGTATCGGGTTAACTCTCGAGCGCATTGTAAAGAGCGCAAGAGNGTAACTTGACAGAGGGTGAAAAAAAAAAAAAAAAAAAAAAAATCGGCCTACTCTATGTACATCGTGTCACGTCGACTGCGTTGAGTTTTGAAGATCTGCAAAATTACCATTATTCGGATTTAACTATACCTTATTCCGTATACGGTGCTGTGCATGAACAATGCAAAAACAGTCAGACATACGGCAATGTAACTTCAGTACATGTATATTTTCCCGATATACATATTCGACATGTTTGTGAAAAATGTTTCGATGCCACTAAAAAACATTGGTATTGTGAAATCAATCGGTTATAACGATATACATGTATTACGAAAACCATATAACTAGCGCATGTGAATCCCTCATAATTGCATAAAAACCGGCGGGTGAATTAGCCGTAATGGACTAATTGTCCCTCTCGTTTCGCGGATGGCATATAATAATAATAATAATGGGTACACGCGTGGCATTATGTGTGTTGTCATTATTCTCCCTTTGTCGCAGACGTCATAATTGGCGTGCCGTCGCTGCAGGCGCAAAACTTGGAGGCCAAAATACGAGAGGAACGCTGCCGGTACCTCGTTGCCGAGCTCGTGTGCAAAGTGAGTCGAGTTGATGATGCATTTCAAACAATTAAACCCTCGCGTTAACGTAGTACATATACTTGTCAATAAACGTTGGCTCACCTGTTTGTTTGTTTGTACTTTTCCCTCTTGAATCGGTATATACCTAAACCCCCCGTCAGCCGGAGTACGAGGACTCACTGGAATTGCTGTGCGGTAGCGTGCTTCGGCAGCTGCAGCGCGCCACGACTGAAAAGTTCGAGATCGGCCGCGAGTCACCGGTCCCGGTGCCCTACGCCTTCGGCACGCCCGCCGGGGACGAGATCGACCTTCGGTAGGTACACCACTTGTACACATAAAACACGTCATGCTGACGGCGGGGGTAATAAAAACGATGGGGCATTGGTTGAAGGCTGTTCAGCCGGGACATCATACGGAGAGCCATGACGGCCCTCGTGGCGATTCTCGAGCGCGAGACCCGCGGCTGGTTCCTCCACTTCCGCGAGAAGCTGATATCCGAGCTGAGGGCGCAAAAAAAGTCGGACGAGGAGATAGAGCGGCTGGTGAACGAGGCTGTCATGCGGGAGTACTTGCAGCGCGTGTACGCGTCGGTGCTGACCCACCCGGACCTCGCGGCCCTGGGGGACGGGATACCCCGGCTGCTCGTCCAGCAGGCCCAGTCCGTGGTCCTCATGTACCGGGCCGTAGACAACGTCCAGCAAAAACTCGCGAGGACCAAGGACCGGTTGCGGGAGAGGCTGGAGCGCGACAGTCCGGTGTTGTCGCGGATAGGCCCGTGGATGAGGAATCGTATGCGCGAGGCCGAGGCGCGCTTCGCCGAGGAGTGCGAGTGGAGCGCCCACGAGGAGGCCCTCGGGCTCTGCGCCCAGCAAAACCTCCAGCAAACCATGTACTTTCTCCACCGGGACTTGACCTTTATGAGGGAGCGGGAGCCGGTGCTGCTCAAGGAACTCGGTAAGGTCAAGGCCCCGACGAGGATGTTCCAGTGGCCGGTGCGCATCTGGCTGCCGAGGAACTGGATCGTCCGGCGGAGCTTTCAGGGCCAGTCGGAGGTCATACCGACGGTGCTCAGCAACAATCCGACCTCCATCACGTCCGCCAGGTCGGACAGCCAGCCCGTCTTTTTGGTCGAGCGCGAGACCGTCCACACGACGACCACGAGGTGGCCCGGCTGGCGCTGGGTGCGTACATCCCTCTATACACTTGGATTGGGGGGCATCAAATACAACCAGTACAAAGTTTTTTTTTTTTTTTGTTTTTTTTAGATAAATTACGTGTCGCGCACGTGGTGCTGGACGTGGAACGCAATGTTCCTGTTTGGCGTGGCGCTACCGTTGTGCAGTCCGGTGTCGTTGCGAGCTCTCGTGCTCGTCCAACCCTTCACCCCGGACCTCGAGCTCAGCCAGCTGAACGGCACCCTGTTTCCCCGCAAATCCTCGCAGACGCCGACCCTCTACTCCCGGCTCACTGCCCTCTGGAGGCACATCAGCAAGAGCCGGACGCACTTTGAAACGGAGCCCGATACTGGTGCGTTTCTACCTCTTTAAAATTTCCTTTTTTTTCACATTGGTCCCACCTGACTTTGAGGGTTTTACTTTGCCCCCCGGCAAGGTTTCATCGGCAAGGGGATGACGCGACACATGAACAGGCTATGGAACTACGGGGTCAAAGGCTTTCTCGGCACGTTGTGTCTTCTCTTTGTTTTCCCGGTGGTTTCGCTCGTCATAAGCATCGCCTCGCTCTTCATCGCCTTAACTGCCATTTTATGGTCAGTAGGATATGTATTACCTGCACGTACACACCTATGATGAAAAACTAAAAATTTGATTATTGGTCCAGGATGCCGATCGTAACTCTGGCTTTGCACGCCTTTATGGCTCTGGTACTGGATCTCGATAGTCCGGACATTGCGAGAAATCGCTATTTAACCGTGATGGAAGCTCTGGTCTGGAACATCTGCATTCAAGGCTTTTTCCAGCCCATAGCTGCTCTGACGATCGCCCTCTGCATCTGTCCTCTCGTTTCGTTCACGATACTGACCATCGCCGTGATACGTTACTGGGTCAGAGTCATGTGGGACACTGCCATGTACCACCTGGTCATAAAGAGCCGCGGCAGAATACCAGCGAGCGATAGTTTTGTCGTCAAGAGAATCGCCGGTCCCGGATTGGCGTCCGACTACTACTATCAGGTAAACTGGGGACAACAACAACAAAAAATACAAAGCCACGTAAATTACAATACACGAGATACTTTTTTTTTTTTTTTTTTTCCTCCACAGATACGACCGGAGCAGGCCTTGATTGCGTTCGAAGCCAGATTAGAGTTGGACGAGCTCGAGGCGTTCCAACGCGAAATGGAACGGCTCATAACTCAACCCCAGAGGGATTTCACCCAGTTCGTCGAGGCGTGCTTCGGAAGTTTCGCGGTTAGCCTGGAAAAGACCAAGGAGCCTTACAAGTCCCTGGAGAAGGAAGCTCGCGACCTTATGGCTGTGCTCCACGAGAAACTCGATAGGCGCAGAAAGGACTGCAGGCTAGAGCTCGGTGTTGCCATCAGGAGTAAAATCAAGCTCTCCACTTACGATCTGAAGGTTCCTTTGTTCGTTTACTTTTTTTTTTTTTTTTTTTTTTTTTTTTTTTCCTCCTACACACACGTGTTGTACTTTGTTCGCAGGTGGCTTTGCAGCAAGGGGCGCTGATGCTCGAGCGACTGTACCCCGACCACGTGTTCGCTCGATTGTCATCGGCCGAGGAGGACGATTTTTGGGAAAACAAGGGCCTGAGCGTGGGCGACTGGGCCGGCCTCGCGGGCCTCATATACGCGGACGTGTTCAGCCTGGACTTTTTGCAGCCCCTCGACGACACCGACACCAAATTCAAGCTCGAGCCCCACCCGAGCGTGGATCTGTCGCGTTACACGGAACTCGTTCACAACACCGAGCTCGGTGGAGGCGTCAATGGGCCCGACCTCCTCGGCGCCGTCTACGCCCCCAGGGGCAACATTCAAGTGCACAGTCCGTACTTGGCCGTCTCCGCCTTCAACCCGCGATCCAAGCCACCGAGCAGCACTCGAAAGTCCTACAAGCGAGTGTGAGTATATATAAAACAAAAAACAAGTACGTGACCAAACGAACGGATGATTAATTGGTTTTGTTTGTTGTCCGACGCAGCACGATTTTCCAGTGCAGCAGGACACTGGGACTACTGACGACGGCGGGGATCCGTAGACCCGCGATGACGAGCAACAACGGGGCCGAGGCCCGTTGGCAGCCGTGGAAACGGAAAATCCGGCCGTACAGCGCCGAAAAGCTCCTGATACCCCTGCCGATCCCCCATCCCGCCCACATAGCCGTGACGATACACAACCGCGACACCGAGGACCCGATACCCTTAGACTCGGACCTCTGCCAGAACATACTCAAGGCCATCGAGGAGTCGCCCAGCGAGATGGCCATGGAGAGTGTCGTCGTGGGCCGGTGTCGGGGAGGCGACTCGAGCTTCGACTCGGTTGCCTCCCAGTCGTCCGAATCGATCGATGCCATCGACAAGGTACGTATATTGTACATAATATCGGTTGTACCGGTAATTCCGGGATTCTTGACTTTGGACGAGTGTGGTTCAGATCGACGAGTGTCGGGAGGACGCGGGAGACCCGGACGAGAAGGAGACGGAGACGTACCACTGGACCCTGTCGAACTGGGGCGGTGGGATGGCCAGGCGAAGAAACAACTCGGGCTCGATCAAGGTCGACTTGGCGTCGCCGGAGGACGTGACGCTCGACACCGACAGCACGAGGGTCATGTTCAGCACTTACGGCACAACGGTGTAGCTCACCCGACGGACATCGACTTTCAACATTTTATATATGTACACGCATGTGCGTATACGTAACTGCTTCCGCATCGAAAACGTCAATTTCGGACAAAAGGACGGAGAAGCTTAAATAAATAAAGATCTCCTTCGAGTGTACAAGTCGATCTCACAACAGGATAACTATTTCACCCGTAACACAATTAGATTCAATTTTTTTTTTTTTTTTTATCTAGAAATTTCAAAGTCGGATATAATCGCTCATTGATCGCATTTCTCATTAATCGATTGCATTTTACAGAGCTCGCAAATTCATTTGCACAGTTGTATTTTTTAAGCCAAGCGTATAAGTATTATTCCTGTGTTGCATCAGGTCACTGTCGTCAAAATAGGCGAACGAGCGATCGACTTTTCCGAGCTGATCGTCATGTTACATACAAGCCGTGACTACAAACTGCTTTATTAAAAAAAAAAGTCTGAAATAAGTGCGCAGCGCTTAGCATTTTACGATAATTCGAGTAATCAAGCGTAACACGTATGTATCTATATTTAAGAAAAAAAATAAGCAAAAAATTTTTAAAAAAAATCCAATTAATCAGATTTCGGCGAGTCTTTGTAAATTACTTGCTCTTGAAAAATCAACTTTTCCCGCATCATCCGTGATGCGAAACTTACTTGTAAAACTGTAAATATAATTTCCGCATAGCCAAGGATTATAATATACTGGGCTATATGAATGATATGTAAAGAACTGCATCAATGTGTTGATTAACGATACCGTGTACCAACCGACGCGGTAACATGGCATGGATTTTTCACTGACAAAAAAAAATACATACGATAACACGGCTGTCTGTTGTAAATGTACGCTTCGAACGAACAAATAAGACTCCGTATATTGAAAAGAAAAAAAAAAAATTTTTTATTGCATGCCGTTGCGTGAAGCGAAAGAGTTTTGAAAATTCCGTTCGACAAGTGTAACTAGTGTAAATGTAAGCTCGAAGCTTTTTNAAATTTTTTATTGCATGCCGTTGCGTGAAGCGAAAGAGTTTTGAAAATTCCGTTCGACAAGTGTAACTAGTGTAAATGTAAGCTCGAAGCTTTTTATCTTTATTTAACACGTATATATAAAATATATTATGTACTTTTAGAGTTAAGTGACCAAAGCTTTACGAATATAATTTTAATCAAAATAATCACCTTTTCGTTTTACATCATAACGATTTCCGTAAAATTTCGTATGTACACATGTCTTTTTAAAAATATGTTTTAATGACTATCGTCAAAATAGTTTATAGTTAAAAAATCCTATATGTATATTGCATGTATTCTAACGAATCAACTATTTAGAATTTTCGATTATACTAGAGACTTAGTAAAACACGAAAAATACCAATATGTATGTGGTGCAATTATAAATATATATATATATAAAAGTGTCGAAAATATACTTCAATCGATATAGTTATGCTTGATAATCTTGTCAATGGACTCGTTATGCAATATCAAGTAGGTGGAATATACTACCAATGTAAGTACATACACATGCAAAGCAACACTTATGAATAAAAGAAGGATATCGAGCACGTAATGCTGGACGAGTAAAATAGATCAAAATTAATTTTTATTCACAAAGTACGTAGCCACCAAGTATTATTTTGTTACGTTTTCAATCACTGATTTTAACGCTCTCTTACACCCTAATCTGTTAGCAAGACTAAAGCTATAGATCTGTACAGTTTTGTATGAAATATGCGGCAGGGGATCTGAATTTTAAAATGCGTGAATGTGATAGTAGAAGAAAAACGAAAATTGTATTGTACAAATAGTGGAAACATCTTTGGTTATCAGTTCAAGTTCGATTAATATTGTTTTGCAAAATAATAACCAAATTGAAGTCCACTTTTTGCAATATTTGTGATCTGTTACGAAAATGAAAAAAAGATTATTAGCTTGACGATTCCATCCATTAATACTGAACGATTAATCAATGAAAATGTTCGATGCTATGAAAATGAACAAATAAACAAAATAAAGACTTTTTGTGTCGAGTCATTCGAAATAAGAGAAATAGGAGAGATGGACATACATTAGGAAAAATGATGATGGTGAGAGAATGACTAGATTAAAAATGCAGCCAAGCTAAACGAATAAATCGTGTATAGTATAAAATAAAATAAAAATATCTATGATATTATATAAAGACGTCCTGGGACGTTAGTTATTGAATGATGAAAAATATAAATAACAAATTCGATATTTAATAACGAGTTTGCACTGATATACTCATGTGTGGTGGTTTTTTTTTTTTTTTTTTTTTTTTTTGCAATAAAGAGCGCATATTGTTATATACGAATATTTTGTTTGTTTTCTTTATACGTGTATAATCACTTGCGTAAAATTGTTTTGTAACTTATGCGCGTGTTAAACAAACAACGAGGAATATAATGAATAGTGTCGTTCCCACGAAGTCGCTAACGGTACAATTTTATTAGCATTAACACTTGAGTTTTATACTTGTGGTAAACGAATGTAATAAAGAAAGACGGAAATAAATGAAAATGCAGGTGTTTTTTATTATCCCGGTGAACCCAAAGCTATCCCTACGCGTGTATTTTTTGCACGTCGATGTTGTGAACCTCGGTGTACAGAGCAAAGAGCACGTGCAGCGCTTCAATTTTGTTGTCCCCGTAAACCGGAATGTCCAGTACGGCGCAAATGACGTCGACGAGCTGCAAAAGATCGAGGTCCAGTTGAAGAAGATTCGGGGCGTGGACGAGATTGAGCTTGTCTTCGATCTCGAGCGGCCAGGGCTCCAGCAGGGCGTCCGGGCTCGGGTACCTGTTGGTCAGCTGCACAGCCGGGGGGTGTTTGCTGCGGTGCAGCTGGTTCATGTCGTCGATCCACTTGTCGATCAGCCTGCCCTGCCTCGAGGCGTCCTCGAGTCGCTTCACCACCGACGCCTTGGAGCTACTGACCGCGCTGCGGCTCCGGCTGCGCAGCTGGAGGTGGAGGACCGCCGGCTCGGACTGGTCGGCCGCCGGCTCGTCCAGGACCGCGAGACCCAACTTGTCCGGAGCCTCGTCGGGTCTGGGCACCTTGAGGAACGCGTCTATGTCACCCACTGCTGGGATGTAGTCCGGGATCAGTGGGATGAGCTTGTACTGGAGGTCCATCTTTTGCGGCGTGTACCTACGCACACGTTTTGTTCGGTCAAAGTAGTAAAAAAAAAAAAAAAAAGCAATTCCAGTGAAAAGAACAGGTTTCATTCTTCTTACCGGGTGATTCAACTAGCAAAGTGCAGACTTACCTCGTGATGTTTTGAAACAGCTCCTTCACTTCGGCCGACACGTTGAGATCCTCAAACTGTTTCGAGTCGTAGTAATCGGCCAGCTTCATTCTTGCTATCTTTTGGACGTCGACGTCCTCGCTGTCCTCGCTGTCGGAGGTCTCGCTGTCCAGTCCCATGGACTTGTTGAACGAGTCGTCCGGCACGGAGTACCTGTCGCGGCAGTCACAGTTAGTCTACAGTGATTCACCGAATGGGAAAAAGAAATAACTAAACGGGACCTTCGGAAATCAGCAGCTTTAGTGGCCGGCGACCTGACGTCCGCGTCGTGGGGGTCCGGCTTGGGCCTGGTGGTGCGGCTACTGTTTGTGGGTCTCCTTCCACTGGCCGGGCGGCTCGTAGTCTCTTTCGCGGCATTTTCCACCTCGACGCTCCGGTCTACCGTAGAAAACGCCCCGACCTCCTGCGAGCGATGCTCCTCTTCCTCCTCGCTACTTGCACGCAATTGTCGATCTAACGGATGCCCGTTTGAGCTCTCCGCCGATCTTCGCTGCATCGTTCTTTTCGTCCAAAGATTTTCACCCTTCGCTCGAGCACCATCAGACTTTCGTTTGTTTTTCCCCCCCCTCTATACAAAGTTGCTATGGTTACCCGACCAAAAGTATAAGGTGGGTTGGCTTGAACAACGAGGATGAGGAGGCACTACACTTCAACAATAACATCAATGACTGTGAATCGTGTCTGCACGTGTTTTCCTTTTTTATTAAATATATGTTATTAAAATCGTAGCGTGTCATGTACATGCTTCAAAAAACGATCAGAAAATCTTGTATGATCGGGTAAAAAGAGCGCTTTACAAAATGTCTCTAAAGACGTCTAGAATTCAGTTGATCGTCCGGACAAAAAAAAACGAACCATATATATGTTATACCCAGTCAAAGGAGAAACGGTAACCAGAATGTATGAAATTCACCAGGCGACGCGTTGTTTCGCATAAATAGAAAAAAAAAAAAAAAAAAAAAAAAAAAATCACGTCGTATATTTGCCGTAGATGCGCCCGCTCCTCGTCCGCCTGACCAGACAGTTCAGCTGCTCGTTACGTCCTTGCCTAGGCTGATGGTTGTACTGTCGCCTCGCGATCGCGCGAGCCCCTAATTTGTTGCAATCATTGTGTCCAGTTGGACGCAGAGCACGTCTCTGGGCGAACGAGGAGGTGTTAGCCCTCCGATCTAATAGTGATGAAATAAATTTTTAAGTTTAGCTTTTACTGCACCGAAGATCGGGGGGTCACCTGTGAATAAGTGCATGGGAGCCGAGGACAAAGTAACGCGCGGCACGTGCACCGAGTCGCCGCAGTCACGCCGATTTGTTTTGGACTCCGTGGACCCGAGCAGCGGCATCGAGCACACCGAACTCCCCGCTGACTCGACTCTGCAATTCAAACGTATTTTTCATCGCTAACGCAACCGGGAACCAACAGAACGCGAACGTTATGTCACGTATGTACGAGTCGTTGATCGCCGGATCCCGAGAAATCGGTTGGGGCTCGTCCTGCTCCCTCAAGTAATTTAAAAGGGACGCGAGGAGCATCAGCAGGGCGCTGATCAAACAAATCGTCAGGAGGTCGACGAGTATTCCCCTGGGAGTGGGCCAGTGGTCGACCGGCTGTTGTTTCTTCTCGGACTCGGATGCCGAAAGGCTTCGAAAGAGGGAGCCCAGCCACGGTAACTTGTCCTGTTTGCCGGGAACAAACGTTGTCAAAATACACGTGGGGGGGGAGGGCGTTTACAATTTACCTGGAAGTAGGTGGAAAACCGCTCGGCGAACAACATCCAGCGGGAGCTTCGCATCCTTCCTCAACCGCATATTCGCGAGACTCAATGATAATTAAGGCACTGCCTCGCGATCGGCAACGCGAACGACGGATGGGTGAATCGCGTTGGGAACCGGATTTTCACTCCTCGCGCCATTGTTATTTGGGCACGAACGTGTGTGTGTGTGTGTTTCAAACAAGTGACAGCTAACAGGAGCCGGCCGGTAGTTGACAATTTTGCCTGTACTTCGGTTGTCTCATCTTTTTGTAGAACAAACTAATGATTACACGTACTTTCGTACTTATCGTTTGGTACACACAACTATTTTTAACGCTTTAGAGTCTGAAGTTGTGCACACATTCATCTCTGTGTATAATTAACCGTTGGCTTTTTTTTTTACACCCAAAATGTAATACATGTAAAAGTATTCGATATTTGTTTAACACGAATTTTACAAACGTTCAGTACATTAACATTTTTCAATGGGGAGAAAAAACGAGATTGAACACATACATTTGCATAAGAATTCATTATTTACTGAATTGTCAATAAATAATAAAAATTAAGAATCTGAGATTAAACTGAGATATCAAATAAGTATCATAATTGTAATTTAAATTGTCTATTATTGTTAAATTTTAGTTCCAAGTGTTGCTACAACTTATTTGACAAGAAATTAACAATTAAATACTCGAGTGTAAGTATGGCTATTTCTAGACGTGGGGGTAACTATTAAAATATAGGGTACACATAATCACTGGGAAATAAAAATTTTTCCGCATAATTTTTTTAGCTGCAATCGGAAATGCGCGCGTGAAATATCGAGAGCAGTCAGCCGATCTAGCTTTATATTGGGATTCCAAAAGGTCACGTGACTCTCGCGGTATATATAGTCACTTGGGGGAAAAATCAAAAATAACACAGGCCTTGTAGGTGCAAATATATTTTTATTTTTTTTACACGTTCAACGATTGTAATACGTTAAAAGCCGTTAAATAACGTATTTTTGAGAAGATGACAATACCTTGACTATTTTTTTCCAACTCAATTAGTCTTTTGTAGCTTAAGACTTTCCTTTGAAAGTGCGAAAATGCACATCATTTAACCTTACCAAAATCCCGCTTGTTTTCCTATATAATATAGTCGGGAACGACTAAATATACGTCCTATATATGTCGGGAGAACTTAGTGCATTTTCGCACTTTCAAAGGAAAGTTTTAAGCTGCAAAAGACTAATTGAGTTGGGAAAAAATAGTCAAGGTATTGTCATTTTCTCAAAAATATGTTATTCAACGGCTTTTATCGTATTACAATCGTTGAACGTGTAAAAAAAAATAAAAATATATTTGCACCTACAAGGCCTGTGTTATTTTTCCCCCAAGTGACTATATATACCGCGAGTCACGTGACCTTTTGGAATCCCAATACTTACACACCCACACACACGCGTGACATAACCACAAATAAACGTCAAAAATGTAACTTTAACCCATTGAATTATTGGTTTAACTGCAAATCAAAGCAACTTACTACTGATTGACAAAAATTAACAAAATAGTAAGGATCGTGCTTCATGCGATAGCATTTACAAGTTTTTTCATGTTTGTCATAAGTAAAAAGTTTTGGTAGTTTCATAGAAGAAATTTGCCAAAGTTGAACAATGTGATGTTCCTGAAGTAAGTTAAGGTTAGTATGTGATAACTTTTGTGAAATCAAAATATTATTATGAACAAGATTAAATAAAAATATATATTTTGTAGATAAAACATCAATACATTAGTATTGAAAATGAAAACAGGATGAATTTAAAAGTCTTACTTGCATAAGCTATCAGTTGACATTTAAATGTGTCTATAAGATCAAAGTTATGTTGGTTACCAGAAAATTAGTGCCAGTATCTGGCGTAAGCAGATCTTGTGGCAAAATCATCTTTGAGCAGCAAAAAAATTTGCTAACCAATTTAAAACTTGTGCCTAGTAGTGAAAGGTACATCAACACTGGTTGCTGCTTGATGTTTAGTAAACCATATACAAGAGAAAAACTCAAGGACATGAGTAATCAAAAAACAGTAAAAATAAATATCCAGAAATTGGAAGAAACCGAGAATGGAAAGATCGAAAAGACGAGTAGCATAAAAGATAGGGAGAAAAAAGATTTGCCAATGGAGACTGAAGTAGAGTCGGAACAGCAGAAAGAAAAGAGAAAAGATAAAAGGTGGAGAGCTTATGGCAGACAGTTGATTCTTTCTTCGTTTGAAAGTGCCGAGTCTAAGAATAAAGAATCGTTTCTCGAGTGTTTGAGGATGTACACAAATTCACCAGGAAAAAAAGTGGATCGGATATTGTTTATCTATGCTGCACTCAAATACATGGAAGAGTTTGAAGTGCACAAAGATCTAGAAATTTACAAAGCCATATTGGACATTCTTCCTAAAGGATCAATGGTACCGACAAATGTCTTTCAGACCTGGTTTATGCACTATCCTAAGGAGCAGTACTGCGCAGTTGCTCTTTTGGAACAGATGGAGGACAACTCTGTAATGCCAGATCCTGAAATGGAATCAATGCTTTTAAATATATTCAGTTCACATGGACTTCCCACCCAAAAATATTGGAAAATGATGTATTGGATGCCTAAATTTAAAAATTTGAATCCATGGCCGGTACCCAAGCCCATTCCGAATGATCCCTTTGAATTGGCCAAGCTAGCCATGGTTAAAATTTCTTCCATCGACGTTCAAAGTGTCGTCAGTGTTTTTGATACGCATGAAGTTGAGGATTCCATCGATAAGACGTGGATTGTGTCTGCTATGGCTCCAAAGCAGAGCGAACTTTTGCGCAAGCATGACAAGAGTAAAGCCATTTACGTTGAGGGTCCTTACAGAATTTACGTGGCTACAAAGAGCGTTGATTATTTCATCTTACGAGCAGATCCTGCGCCAAACAGAAAATATCCAGATGTCGATACAGATGGTTTGTAGATCTACAAGACATTTACACGAGCACAAATAATTTTTTGCTGCAATTCGTACTTGAAGAATTTTTTTTTTTTTTTCTCTTTTACATTTGATTGCAGCTGTGGACAGAATAAGAAATCCGTACCTGGAAGCTACGACATCAAAGGATATCATAGTAGTGCCAAGTGTACACGAAGAGGTCGACGCCACGATTTTTGCCATCTGCGCCACAGGCACATCATCCAAAGATACGCTCCTCTCGTGGGTCCGATGCCTACAAAGGAGCAACCCTGTCCTGGGAGAACTCGCTATTGTTTTTACCCTAAAAAATGTTGCCCGGGAGGGGTATTACATCGAGGAAGGCCATGAATATTCATCACGTGAATCTAAGGACAGTTGAACCAATGAATCGAAACTGTCTGTGTATCATAATATTAAATAGGGTACAGATAACGTATGTTTATCTTGTTGGAGTTTTTAAAATAAATGTGTATATACCACCGTGTTGAGAGAAATCGGAATGATTTGATTAAAAATACTTGTAAGCTCTTTGCATCAGGTATGATAATTTCATTGATGAAACATTAATTTATTGAAATTTTTCAAACGCCACCACTACGAAAATTGGTCAAACAACATGGCGGCAAAAAAAAAGTAATCGAAATGCAAATTAAATGTAAGGTCATTGCGCAGCTGCGTTTCGTCGCTCTTTTTCAAAGTGCAGCTTTGCAAATTTCCCATTGGTCTCCAACATCGGCATCAGTAGTCTCGGAGCTAGAGCTTCAGACTAACGAACATCGCCGGATACTTATTCCCCAAGTCAAGGAATTTTACGAAGCTGAATCGTACACTTGGTTGCGGTTTTTCTAAAATTGCCCTTTTTTCAGCAGCAAGTGAACATTTGTTTATTTTACCTCGTCCGCTGCTAATATCATCGAGTCGAGTTGTGCTTTTAACAATCAATCGTTGAAATGAAAAGGATCAGCACAGTGTGTAAGTTGACAGAGGGTGAAAAAAAAAAAAAAAAAAAAAAGTTACCAAATTGAAAGTTTGGATGAAATGTAATAATGGTGTGTTTCTTCATAAATTTAGTCGGCAAATCGCACCAGTACTATAAACAGCTAGGTAAACAGTACAGCAACGGAGCATTTTTACCGGGATGCGAGTTTACGCCCTCGACTTACAAGGTGCGCCAACAATTGATGATTGATCGGTATACCCGTACACCCTTTTTTTTTCACATCAAGAAATATTTTATACCGATACCCCATGATGAACAAAAGTTCCAACGTTGTTCGAAACACTTACAGGGAGCGAGTTACGAGGCGATAGTAAAATCTCGGGAGTGTCTCGTCATGGCCACGCAGAAGCCCTTTTACAAAAAGCCCGTCCTCCTCCACGAGGGTAGAGCCCAGTGGCTCTGGGATCACGAGGGCCGTCGCTACCTGGACATGTTCGGCGGCATAGCCACCGTGTCGGTCGGCCACTGTCACCCGTAAGTCCTTTGTTTGCTCCTACGTATATCCACAAGTATAAATATATATAATTTCTCATCGGATCCTCCCTACCCAGCAAGGTGGTGACGGCGCTTTCGGAGCAGTCGTACAAACTCGGGCACACGACGGCCATCTACTATCACCCGCGTTACCACGAGTACGCGGAGAAGCTCACGTCTACCCTGCCCTCGGAATTGAAGTGCGTTTATCTGACGAACAGCGGCTCCGAGGCCACGGAACTGGCCATCCAGTTGGCTCGACTCTACACCGGTCGCACCCAAATCGTGGCTCTCAAGAATTGCTACCACGGGGGCACGGGCATCGCCGCGGCTACCACCGCCATGGCCTGCTACAAGTACCCCCTGCCGACCCTACCCGGACACATTCACGTTCGTGTTTCCTCCTACACTACCCACATGAACCTATAATTATCCAATGGAAGGAAAAAAAAAAATAGTGAAGAAATCACCCACGACTCAATTTTTTTTTTCTCCTTTCGCTCCTTGTGTTTTTTCCATGTATTGTATGATGAGCATTTCAATAAAAATATCCGGTTGCGCTCCGTATAGGTGACGAACCCGGACGTTTATCTGGGGCCATGGGGCGGCTCGAACTGCCGAGACAGTCCGGTCCAGCCGGGAAACCGTAGGTGCGACTGTTTGCCGAACAAGTGCGAGGCCGAGGACAAGTACTTTGAGGAGTTCCAGAGCATCTACAAGTCGCTCATCCCCTTCGACGGAAAGATCGCGGCATTCACCGCGGAGAGCATCCAAGTATATTATATGGAACAAACAATAGTGCAGGGGTACGACGGGTGATGTGTGTCAATGTTTTGTGTGCTTTTCATGTCCACCACCCTGGGGGCTCAAGGGTGTAGGGGGCACGGTCCAGTACCCCCGAGGCTACCTCAAGCGAGTGTACGAGCAGGTGCGCAAGGCAGGTGGCCTGTGCATAGCCGACGAGGTGCAAACGGGCTTTGGGCGCACGGGGGAGCACTTTTGGGGCTTCGAGGGCCACGGCGTGCGCCCCGACATCGTGGTCATGGCCAAGGGCATTGGCAACGGTTACCCCCTCGGGGCCGTCGTCACGACGCTTCCGGTCGCCCAGGCGCTCTCCAAGGCCCTCTACTTCAACACTTTTGGCGGCAACCCGGTCGGCTGCGCCGTCGGCTCGGCTGTTCTCGATGTACACACAAACTCATATTATCCATACACCTACCCACATGTACCAATATAATATATACTCTGTGTAATTTGAATTGCACATCATCATCATGGAGATTCCCTGACCTCTGGTGTACGGCGTGTTTCACGTTCACTGCCATCGCGCTATATAATGCATGATTGTGCATACAATCAATGGCCTGGGGCTCATGAATGATTCATTTTTTGCTTCGTGTGCTACTCTTTTTTTTTTTTTTCTTCCCTTTGTGTCTCCATTGTTGTCAGTGAGCACTTATTTCGTTTGTACGAGCGTAGGTGATAGAAGAGGAGAATCTGCAGGAGAACGCGAGGATCGTAGGTACGCGGATAATTGAGGCTTTGGCGGAGCTGCAGGGGGAGTTTCCCGACGTCGTCGGGGATGTCAGGGGCAAGGGCTTGATGATCGGAGTCGAGCTGGTGGCCGATGCCGAGACGAGGGAGCCGCTGCCGGCAGATCAGGTGGCCCAGATTTTCGAGGACATCAAGGACGCCGGCGTGCTGATCGGCAAAGGAGGGGTCAACGGGAATGTACGTGTGCTGTTGCCTTGCGGAGCTTTACCTCAAAAATCTACCTCTCCTTTCTTTTCATAATTACTCCACTACACCCGTAGCAATTTTCCATTTAGACGAAAGTACCGAGGTTTTTTTTTTTAACGAATCAATTTTGTGGTTTAGGCATGCGACTGAAAGTCACATTTTTCTCCTGCTTCGCGATACAGCAACGAAATAGGGGGATGCAGGAGTGACATTTCTTATCTGCCACGTCTGAGTTCCTTGATCTCATTTTACAGGTGTTTAGGATCAAGCCGCCGCTGTGCGTAACCAAGGAAGACGGGGAATATACCGTTGATGCTCTGAGATCAGCATTGAAGAAGCATCGAGAAAGTCGGCGATTTTAAAAATACAATCGAGGAATGAAAATAACCCAAAGACATGCGCTGCATGAATATTTCAGCCCAACGTATAAAAAGTTAATGTTACTCATATCATGTATATGTATATTATAGATGAAGATTCAATCAAATGATGTCGTACTTTTTCAAAAATATAAAAAATTATTTTTCAATTTATTGCCTTATTTTAAATCTCACAAATTTTTCACAATTATTCAATACAAATTGTTCCTTTGTACCTCTAAACAACCTTAATAACATCTAATTTTCAACATTGCTTTGGATTAACTCAAAAACATAGTTGCTCACATTTTTCTTGTTACAGTTAGTATATATCAATATATTGTAGAGAGCTCCAGACTCTGTCATATTTATCACGATTTTACAATAACATAGATACATGATCATTAACGTTAGCTAAAAAATAAATTCTTTGTCAAGTATATGTATACGCTAAAAACTAACTTTATTTAGCATAAAGAAATTGTAAAAATTTCACCCATAAACTTGCTATTGGATATACATGTATATATCAACTAAAGATACAAAAATTGCATTTATATGAAATCGTGTGGAAGACCAACAACCTATATGAGTAAGGTATAAACACCACTAAGTGTATACACATAAACATACTTTGTAAATAACATCATTGAAATGGTCGTTAAAAATGACATCTTATCTATGAGTATTTCCAAATGGAATCCTTCGTTAAAACTTGTACAGTATATAAACGTGTATTTATAAATTACAATCTTTTACAAATGCTTTGTCTAATTTGTACATGCATAAAATCCCATGGGTAGTCTTTTAGTTTACAATTAACGTTAAAATCAGTAGTCACAATCAAAACGTAATTACCTGTTTATACAATTTTTACATTGAAAATTTATACTTTTGTACATGTGTATATATATATCATTACTTCAAAAACAATGTACTATAAATCAGTACAATCGATTCAAAAATTTAATACATACAATTACTTCAATAAACAATGTACCGCAAATTACTACGATCGATTCGATAAAAGTTAAATCTCTGTAGGTATTTTAGAAAGCCAAATCACTTACAAAATGATTAAAGCAATTTATCAATAAATGCAGACGTGTAAAGTAAAATGCAAACGATCAAATTAAAACAGCTTGGCACATTTCAGTTCCAGTTTTTATGATGTGAAAAAAAATTAAACCAGACGACAAAGTATGCGTATTCAAAATATACTTATAGTACTTTCATTTTGAAATAGATTATTCATTACTCAAGTCGCGCGAGTCTTGCGTTTTCAATCTTTAATTATTGTTTTTGTTGCACGTACCTTTCATAGATTTGGTAAAAATAATCTTTGGAAATCGGAAATACTGGTATCACTGATGAAATAATTGATTCAGGCTATCAAATTGGTGAGTAAACTCTTTGTAGACTCTGACGGGCTGTCAAGGAAACAGTGCACAGAGTCTCCAACAGATGCCAAATCAGCTTCTAACAAAGCCAGCTGGAGCTCTCGCCTTGCCTTCTGTACAACATAAACCATCAACGATGCCGCTATAAGAATTTGAAAACAAAATACAATATAACCAGTGGCAGCTGTAGATCTATCCTCCAAGACATCTTGCATTGAACGCAAACTGCTGCCCAAGTAAATGTTGATCAGCTGTGCAGGTAAAAGTCCAATAGCACTGGCTATGTGATATTTGATTCCACGTATACCACTAACCTTAAAAATTGACGAGGCATCATTGACAGAGGCACGTCTTACTTGCATAAAATCATTCCAACAAAATAATTCAACTTACTGCAAATATAGTATTCTGCAGACCAAATGGAATTGGTGTTAGTCTTGTAAAAAGTACAACCTTAAAAGTTTGTGGTCCTGAAATTACTCTGAGTATTGCTCTGGCAGTGTCGCTCTGCAGGAGTGCTCCAATGGGCAAGCTGGATGACAGACTGCTCAATATAAAGTGAGCAATAGCAATGCCAAGATTAGCAGAGAGCACTACCATAGCTGTACCCTCGATCAGTCCAAATAAATAGCCACTAGCGATGACTAGAAACAAGTAGCCGACGATTATGGGAAACGAGACAACGGTGAAGAGGGCTATCATGATTATCATGACAATCCATGTATTTTGATGCTCTATCCAGTAAAGCAGAACCCTTATGTAATCCCTGCAGATGAAGGTGATGGCACCCAGAAATGCAAGAGTGCCTATGATCACTATGACATAACATACGGAGTTTGAATTTATATAACTAGAGCTGGCTCCAGCTGAGCTCTTAAATGGCCTTATTCCAGATTCTACCGTCTCTATGGTTATTACATCCATCGCTCAAGCCGTCTGGTCTACAAGTGAATAATAAAAAAACACGCCATTAGATTTGGTCGATGCGATTTCAAAGAGCATTGCAGCACACAAACAATTGAAATAAAAACAAATTAAAATACTCACAGTAGGTAAACCCACTTTGGCTTCTCTTCTTGATCAAAAAAGTGAATCAGTCTATGCAATATGTAAATGGGTATCTCTCTACTGCCATTTAATCGTCATGATTCGACACGTCGTGAAAAAGGCATTGAGCCTCAACGCGTTATCGCAGTAACTACGCTTCGTCATCATCATTATACTAATTACTCGTATTTTGCTTCGACAACACAGAAAAGGAATATAATAATACAATTATTCCCAACTATCTTAACCTTCCAATGTGTCTCTGGCCCGTAACTTGAACAACTTTTCCTTTGACTAAGATTTTTTCTTCTGTCTTTGAACCTCCTGTAGAGACGGTCCTCTTTTATGCTCAGTCCTCCTTACTGCGTTGAAAAAAAAAAATGTCTCTTCATGTATTTAATCACCACCCACTATATTCTACCTGAAACCGACCTCATACATTTAATGTAATAAAAACAATAAAGTGTAAGGGGGGGGGGGTACTTTGTCACTAGAGGCGCTCGCTATCGTGGGTATACTTTGGCGCCTTTAGCGACAATTCTTGAATATGGTATGGACAGTTTCTCTGAAAAATTTCTTTTAGAAACTTAAAATTGAGTTTTTACACTAAAAAATGTCTCACAAAAGTTAATAGGGTTGAATATTTTCAAACTCGATTTCGGCTCGTTTGAAAAACAAAAATTATTAGACAAACGTCCAACATTCACATTTCACGCGTTAGATATTTGAAAATTTATCGAAACAAAAATAAAAACCAAATGAAGAAAAAAAGAGTGTTAAGACGCGAATTTCATCATATTTATAAAAAAAAAAAATATAAATTTTCATAAAAACCTTAACTTTTTCTCGCGTTGGGGCTCAGTGGTCGAAAGTACAAGGGTCCAACTTTGAAATCCGACTTGATGGTCGTCTACCGCCCTACCGGAAATATATGTAAAGGGAGAGAGAGACGCGACGTTGTGGAGTGTGTGCATTAAGGCGAATAAATAGCGCGAGAGCGCTGTGAAAATTTAATATCCGCGAGTGTTTATTAAGAAGTAGTGCCCCCATTTGGCCCCTTCTATTTTCCTTTCAGGAGTGTTTGGTGTTCCCGACCTCCCGGAGGAGAGGTATCCAGAGTGTAGGGACATGGTAAGAAATTGAGCGAGAGTTTTGTGAGGGGACCCGGGACGGCTGTTTATCGGCTAGAAAAATCCTCGTCACAATATGTATATGTTTGCAGATTTTTCGACAGGTCATTAGTCAAAACTTCAGTTTTTTTAAAATATGCTTTTATGTTTTATACATTAAAATTTACATTTTTTTCTCCAAAAAGAATCCGATTGTTGGATGTGATGTCCAGTGAAGACTCGGATAATGAAATGCGCGAGAGTAAAGCGGCATCTAAAAAAAAAAAAAATATATATTAACCGAGGGTATTGTTACGTAGTACTTCCATAAGTAGACGAACAGCTCGAATTTCAGAATTTCAACCACCGAGCCCCAAAGCGCAAAGCTACGCTGAGAAGACAAAAACAAGTCGGTTTTCAAAGTTAGACATCAAAGCAAGAAAAAGGTTTTTTTTTTAAGTTATTATCTTCTTATAAATATAGCTATTCTTATAACTACCGACAATGCTGACATCTAATGGGCAAATTTTCATGCTAATTTTTATTTGTTTTTTGTTCCAGAAAATTAATTCGTTAAGCCTAAGTACCTATAAAACAATGTTTGCTATGCGGCACTGAAAAATGTCTCAATAGTTGGATTTGAAGAAAACCATAAAAAACTTCTTAGAGTGTATATTACGGGATGGAGGGGCCACAATCACTTAAGTTCAAAACGCCAGAATTATAAATTACTGTCGGAGATAGCTGAAAAAATAACTATTCCGAAAAACACAATTATATATTACTCAAATAAAATTATATTTGATAAAATAGTGAATGATCAACTGAAACCGTTTTTCACGTACAGTTATCTATTTTTGTTATTTTTATTGTTATCATAATAATAATTGTTATTATCATTATTATTATTATTATTGTTAAATATTTATAATGGGTTGAATATATATAATGAATTTTGAATACAGATTATTCGCTAGCCCGGGGTCATCGTCGGGAGATAACATGGCTACGAACTGCGGTGGCAATCGTTTCAAGGTAAGAATTACACTGGGAAACTAATATACATGTATGTAGTAACATTTTTTTCTACAAATCATCGCCATTTTTTATCAATTTTTTTTTTAGAACTAAATGCAATCCCGTTCAACAAACTAATAACAAGTACGTATGTTATAAAAAAGTGCAATAATATTTTGAATTATAATAAATTTAATTATTCACTAACACACTGTCATTTTTAGATAAACTTTAGGGAAAATGAGATACCATCTCGGTCACGTTACCGAAAAAATCATGAAGATGGTGAAAAGTTAGTAATAGTTGTATTTACCTTTTGTAAGCTAGAATTATATATTAAATAATAATAAATTATCTTTTTAAATTTCGATTCTAGGCGAAAACGTGACACGGTGATCTTACCAATGAGCCTTTGCAGGAAGAACCTGCAAGGACAGAAGGAAGAATATAACGGTACCTACTTTTTTTATTTAATTTATGAAATACATTTTTTCAGCTTTTTGTCACATTTCTCAGTTAATTCAATTTATTTAGTAGGGATATACTGCTTCGGAGATCGATACCATGTTGGCGTTCGTGAGGTCGGAAAACTGCTTCCGGAATTTTGTCAGTTTGACAACGTGGAAAAAGTTTGTCAACGGATTTTGATTCATCCCGATAACGTGTGAGAACTCAATGGCAAATTTTATTTCAAAAGAATCACAAGAAACTTTTATTAATTCTTTAAGTAACATGAACATTTCATATTATTTATTTAAATAGCCTATTTTTTAGACTTACAAAAGCATGTCAGCAATACTTATACACATAAGTAACACTGTTCGATTATTACAACCGGGAGATAATCTTTCATAAATATATTAAATTTTTTAAACATTTATAACATGTTTTTTGTATTAATTACTTTGGACGTTTTATCATGATAAAAATAATAATAAATAATAAAAACAATGTCAAAATAATTAAGAATCAGAAATGTGTTTACTAATTTTTTCAGTCAAACAAGTTTTCTCTTCAGATTTTAAGACAAAATTTTGCGTAATCTTGTGTTTTTTTTATGCTAGGTGTCACACTTTGGGAACCTATAATGCATTCTTTTGATTTTTCTCCTTTTTCTCTCTTCATTTTTGTAATGGATCTTGGTAAAAATAAGAGCAACAAACACGTAAACAAACTGAACGATGATCCTTCCCCAGTTGTTGCGCTTATTATGACAAGGTTGTCTGCTCCAGCAAGTTGACACTGACGACAGTAATACCATCACAGTGTTTTAAATGGTATCAAATACTGTCGTTGAATTTAAATGAATTCAAAATAATTAATGATTT